TAAAAGGCCAAATAAGGAATTCAAACAAAAAAAAAAGTAATTTTCTGTTTTGTTTTCTTCCTGGATCAGGCTTTAAAGGGTTAAACCCCGTTGGCTCACCTCATTTTCTGACATGAGAATCTAAAATAATTTCCCAGAGCTATAAAACCCCAACAAGCTTTGATTGCATTAGGAAGTATTAATACCTTCTCGGTTTGAATCACAAACATCTTTGTCGAGTCGGAAACGGACAATGAAGCACAACGGATTATCCATAAAAATGCCGGTGTATTTATCGACAGGGGGAGTATTGTCTGAGTCCCCTACACCTCCGCTAAACACTCAAATGCAGCATGAAATGCATATAGAGTCCTGCCAAAAAGTGCTGAGAAGGAGTCTGGCCCCGGACAGCCATGCATGACAAATCCCTCTCTCACCATCTGCTCTATTGTCCACAAGTAAAGATAAGTCTTGCAGGACCGAACAAACACCGAATATTTCCACACGATTGTGCCAAGCACTTGTGTTTGGATAGGGTTGTTAAAAAAGTATCGATACTAAAATGTTGTATCTGGATACGATGCTCCCCTTCTCTCTGATTTATTTATGTATTTATTTACGTTGTTTATGATCATTAACATGACGTTAGCCTTGAATTGCTAGATGCGGCTAATGGCTAATAAAAACACGCCAACATTAATCAAATATGTCTGGCTGAAAACTTCACCCACATCCAAGTCGGCCATTTTGATTAGGTCACCAATAGGAAGATTCCAGGCAAGAAAATCCTAATTGCTTCATGGCAATATAGATATTAATTTAAAAATAGTGAAATTAATCTTTCACTTAATCAAACTATCCATAATATTATGTTAAAATAGTGGATGTTAAATAGGTTTGTACAATAAGTCCAAACAAGTTTAACCAAAAAATATTTATTTCTCACAATTATGAAGGGTTAGAGTTAGGGTTGTATGGTTTAGGGTTAGGGTTAGGGTTAGGGTTAGGGTCAGGGTCAGGCTTAGGGTTAGGGTTAGGGTTAGGATTAGGGTCAGGGTTAGGATTAGGGTTAGGGTTAGGGTCATTAATGTGGGCCACCATAACATCAGTAACAGGTCAGTTTGAAACCAAAGACACTAACCTGTCAAAATTCAGTTAAATTTTGGGGTCTTTTTTTATTCTTGTAGTATTGAAAATGGTATCGAATATCGAGTATTTTCCTGAGTATCGGTATCCAGTTGAAAATGTTAGTATCGTGACAACCCTAGTTGGATGCATTATGAAACATTAAGATTTAAAAAATCAAACGGTTAGAAATGGATGATCAATTCCAGGTTGTGTAGGAATGGGAACCTTTAAAAATACTGAGTTAGAGCCCAGAATATCGTGTTCTGTGTCTGACCCCTGTTTACCTTTAGTGTGTTTCCGTGTTTTCTGGACAAGGGCCAGCTGCTATATGCCTTTCAGGGATAAATAGGTCCAATAGAAGTACAGCCAAAAGCACCGCTCCGTGACCGGCGGTTTATTAAACCATAAAAAACAGAACAAACAATCAATATTTGATTATAGCCACCTATAATATTTTTTTCCCAGTCAGCTCTCTGAACTTTAGTGGCCTCTATGGATTTCCTGGAATATGCAACTCCTGTGCATATCGCGTATTTTTAAGAAGGTAAAGGCTTTTTGTTTCTCAGCTGTACCTGAGCAGGTCATTTCTGCTTAACCCTTTAAAGCCTGATCCAAGAAAAATAGCAAGAATATTGGATTTTTTT